GGGGGGGGGGACCAAAGCAATTGCTAATCACATAATTAACGCATAATTGATTTCCTACGTAATATAAACATGCAATTAACTCGAACTGGTATCCTACCACTAATATTAGTGCAAAGTTAGTACAAAGATGACTCACTTATTTTGGGACAGGGACAGTAGTTAATTTGTTCTCTCTAATACATGCATTTTTTCAAGATGTCATCGCGCCCCACCATACATGGCTTGAGTGAAGAGGATCGAGTGACTGCATGCATGCACATCTTGGAGGTCTCTAAAGGTAAAGTGCACAGCTTGGATGGCGAGCCCTGTTCGTTAGCATCTTCTAAGCTAATGTGTCATATTCCCCCATCACGCATGAAGAATGTGTTCCGTCAATTTTTTTTCGAAAACCCTTATAATTTATATTCCTGCAAGAAAAAAAACACATGCAATATACTCTAGGCAGAGGAATACAGAGCAATCTGAGGGGATCCCTTATTTGACGATCTTTGCTCGAAATGCCGGTTTGACGCACATAGTGCTCGGGTTGGCTGGCCCTCTACGGGGTTGCGTTGTCTAGAGCGCTCCTCTAGTAATTTTCTTCTGCTTATTTTCTTCCTTCAGTTTTGCTCTTCGATTTTCCTCTAAAAAGTTCAGCTACTGCCCTTTTACAGAATAAAAATAAATTATTATTTTCAGCATAAAAATGTTCAAATGTTCTGAAAGGCGTTCATCTTTTAGAAAATAATAGCTAACAAAAAAAGTATGCATGTTTTAATATATGTTCACAAAATTATAAAAAAGTCTCATATTTTAACAAACGCTCATGCATTTAAAAAATGTTCACCAAATTTTAAAGACATTCATGAATGTAAATTGTTCACCAATTTTTAAATAATTTTCATGATATTTAAAATTCATGAATTAAAAATATTGTCGATGAATTTAAAATGTGCATGAATATAAAACAATCACGAAGTTTAAAAATGTTCATCAATTTTAGAATGAAATTCATAATTTACTAAATATTTATGATTTTTAAAAACCTTTGTAAAATATTTATGAATTTATTAAAGAAAGATGATGTGAAGAAAAAATATGAATAAAAATGAAAGTAAAAAAACATTAAAACCCGTAAGGAAAAGGCTGTGAATATCAGAAAGAATAAAAAGGAAGAAAAAAGGCCCAAAGAAATGAGCAACTGAAAAATTGCACATGGGCTGGCTTATGTGTACCCCTTATGTATTTATCCAACATTTTGTCACAATGAGCGCCAAATTCCCTTTTCCAATCTAAGAGCCTCTTTGTTGGATGTGCTACAGCCATGTGGACCGACCTAGCTACCCACCTCTTCAGATAGGTGGGACCATGCTGGAACCCTCTCCTCACCCACCCTAAAAAATCTCTCCTCGCCCCAACTCTTCTCACTCGGTCAAACC